CATGAAAGCTAAAATAAATATAGCTAAAATAAATCTCTCCTTTCCCACTCCTTTCCCCCCTTATGCTGTAAGTTCAGGCTTGGCTTGTTTCTTCCTGATACCTTGTCTCTTTTTTCACGTCTTCTCCACAGCTTCTCCAAGCTTGGTGGAGGATCATTTCTGGAAATGTTCAATTTGCATGCTGCTCTACCTTGTAAAGCCTGACAAAGCCCTGAAGGATCTGAATGTTGATTGAAGTATCTTTGAAATTCTGTTCCTCAATGCTCCAAAATTGTCACATTTGAGGCTCATGAAAAATTATAATTCTTGGCACTAATCAGTGCTTTTCATTCTCCATGTCTTTACATGTTAACTGATCATCATAACAGCCAGGAAATAAGGGTAGTATTGCCATCCTCTATATCCAGCTGGGGCATCTAAGAGAGAAAGTTGTATGCCAACAGTTGCAGAAGTCAGTAGAATTAAGAATCCCTTTACTTCATATCACTTCAAAAAATTAGCACTGGAACTCCCTTGATTTCAATGAGGTTACCTCTGAATTGCATCAGTGGAAGTAGGAGTAGACATAGACACTGAGGCCGCAGCTACACAAGGTGTTTACTGAGGGGTTGCCTAATTAGTTCTGCAGTAAATGTCTTAGCATTTATATGTGCAGGGCTATTAGGCTGGAGTAAACTAATAAATTCCACCACAGGTTAGTACTTGTAAACACAAGTACTACCCTACAGTAGAGTTATTTACTCTGCAGCAGTGTACATGTAGATGCTGATCCAGCTAACTGAAGCACGAGGCTGACCTGAGGCTCCAGTCAACCCCTCCGCAGCACATGAGCTGGGTTGGAGCAGCCCCAGGCTGGCAGGCTGACCCCCTGAGCCTCCTGCCAGCTGTGGCTGCTCTGGCTGAGCTCAACGTCCATCAGTCTGAGGCATATGTGTAAATGTGGTACCTGGGAACAATAAACTGCAGTGCAATATGGGTCAGAGTTTATTGCATCACATTAATATGCATGTATAGATGTTCCCTGAGTGACCGACACTAGATAATATCTGGGGACTGAGTCTGTTGTCATGGTGTATGTTGGGTATAGCTACATTGAAATTCTGGAATGTCATTGGTATAAGCAACTAAAGAGGCAGCCATTTAATGAGTAAGCATGGAGTCCTTTAGGATGCCTTACATGTAAGAAAACCTCTTTATGCTGCATGTATATTTTTCTATGCAGCTAATTTTTTGACAAAATTCAAACTTACCGCAAAATGACCAATATTTATTACTTTCCTATATTTTGTATCTATGGCTTGTATTATTCCTCTTGACTGATGTTTCTTTCCCCTGTTAGGCCAAACATGAATAAAATGCCAAAAACTACAAAACCATAGGTCACCAGCATCTATCCATTTGTAAGTCTAAAATGTTACCTACTTGGCCCAAATGACATTTGTGAATAGTCTGTACTAATCATGTCAGAGTAAAATTAGCCCATTCCCACAGCACATGCAAAGTGCATGGAGTTCTGCAAGACTACAACAAGGAGAAATTGAGTCATGTGTAAAAGATTTCTAGAGGTGATTTACATGGGATTTTCCCAAGTGCTCAGAACTGGCCTAATGCTGCTTCCACTGGAGCAGATAGGCAAACACCAGTCCTTGTTGTTGCAGGAAGGTAAGAGTGCAACAGAAGTACAGTAAAGACGTTGTACTCCTGAAATAAAACAAAACCACCTATTATGGTCTACAGTGAAAACAGAATGGGCCGAGAAGTCTAGCTAAAAGGTCTTCAATCCCAATCTCATCGTTGATACTGATTTTCCCCCACAATAAGAGGGGAATCCATGCATGTTATATTTAAGATGTGACTAACCAGTTAATTGTGTCTTAAGTTGTGACCTAGCCACATGTTCCATCAATTAATGGCATGATAAAACATCTTATCATGTCATTATTTGGACATGTGGCCACATGCACCCTGGTGGCTGGGAGCTCCATCAGCTGAAAGTGGTCCCAGACGTGGGGATGCACCACTTGCTGCCCCAGCTGGAAGTCCTGCAGTTGATGGGGCACTCAGCCATGGGAGCTTTACATATTGAGATCCCAGGCACCCCCTGACTGGCAGTAAGGCATGATTGGATCTTATGCTGGATCCCACAATCATCCCTCCTGCCACGCAAGTGTGGTATGGCAGGAGGTGCAATTATATAGATCATAAATCAGATCCTATCATGCCTTTTCTTGAACATCTAGAGGAGTCTCCCTCAATTTCCTGTTGTGTAAAACAAGGCAATTCCTACTTTCTAGATACACTGGGAGGATTACTATTTATAAATCATTTTGAATATGGAAAACAGTCTCTAAGTGCTATTATTAAATTAATGTAATAAGGAATCTAAGAATTATCACTGCCCTTTTTTCAACGAGTAGGGAATTACATAGTGATTGTACTGGGCCAATCGGCTACGCATGTGAATGACAAAAAGGAAATGTGTGCATTCATACATACCCTCAACTATGTCCCCCAGGGAAAAGTGTGCATAACAAAATACAGCCACAAACAAAAACTGTCCAGGGAGGTACGTCAGAAATACGCTGATTTTGTACAGTATTATTTTCAGCTGTGCCTTCAGACAGCATGCGCTCACTGTGTGAATGCTAGATTCCTGTTTCTCTGTCAGTACGTTTGCACAAATAGCATGTGCTATCACGGTGCACAAACTCTCACTAATGAAAGCCACAGCATGAAAACACTGAAAGGATGCACTGTGTTTTTTCTTGGCAAGATAAATACTGCTAGTCCAGAACAGAGAGTTATGCTAAACATGTCCACAGAGGCCGGCAGATACATACACTAGTGCAGAGCTGCGCTTATTCCTTTTGATGCAGACAGAAGCAATGTGTTGCTTATTTTCTTGGGTAGTGGAAATATGACATACATTACCAACAAGGGGGGGGGAAGAGGAGGGAAACAAAGAAGCAAGAGTGAACACCTGTCGTTCTCCTTGGGGATGAGACCTAATGCTTTTATTTGATTCAGTCTGTTGAGGGGGCTGCAGCTGCCAACTGTCATCAGGATCAAGTTACAATCACAAAGCCAGACTATTTCATTCTTTAGGTTAAGGACTAGAAAAAGCAATCAAAATCCAGGCAGGAAGGGAAGAGATTTTGGTTACTTTGATTGTTTTAGATTGCGTGATGGCTGTTGGATTATTGAAACACACATGCATACTGGTTTGCGCCAAATGCTGAAGGATATTTCAAACAAATTACATTACTTTGCACAATTTAAATTTGGTATATGAATTTATGCTGATACTCAGATCCCTCTGAGTCATGATGAGGGCCCAATCCTGAGTCCTTGAGTTCAGTAAAAGTTTTGATTATGCAAGGGCTCCAAATATTTAGATGTAGTACTTTCCTGTTTATATATAAATTGCCTTCTGCACACCCTGATTGTTGGTACAATACAGCTCTGACTTCCTGTCTTTACTACCATCACATGTACTGTTCAGTGACTGAGGGAGACTTAAAATGCAAAGTGCACATTCCAGAAAAGTAAATGGAAATCCATCCATAGCATCTAATAAAGGCAGTGAAAACTAACTGGAACTGGCTTTTTCGTTGTCAGGGTTATGAACTTTTCACTAAATACGGTATTGATGACAAGCATCTTTGGTGCTGCGGTGTCCAGTGAAAGGGGAACTGTCAGAGGTTCTCCTAGATTTGCCAGGGAAAAAGAGAAGTTCTTTATGGGAAGGGCCCTGATACCTGGTGTCACAGCCAGGGCCATTAAAAAATCCTTATAACCAATGGGTGAACAGTCTGCAATAATGCCACTGGAAAGCATACTGACCCTTCACAGGAGCTATACTCAAGTATTTTTAAGTGACTCTTCCCCTTCTAACCCTTGTTTTCCTAACACAAACTGAGGTGTAGAAGCAGCCTCTTTTGATTACTTTTCAACATTTCACCCAAATGAGGAAGAAAGCAATGAACAAGGTATTTCCAGTGAAACTTCCTCGGACCTTGCTGAACTCCTAGCCCCAATCTGGGCTGGGCTTGACGCTTCTAGAGAAAGGAAAGCTTCCCTTGCCTTTCACTTTCTCTTTTCCATGACTTAGGATGCTCCTTTCCCAGGGAGCTCTTTGAAACCCCTCCATTCCCTTCTTTGCAAAACAGGACTAAACTTTCCCCATTTGACCAGGTTTCAGTTGCAGCCTCGTGCAGGCTCCACCGCCTCAGGCAGAGGTTAGCCCCCCAGAACAAACGCCTTCTGCTCTTTGAAGAGTCCCTCTGCATGGCTAGTAGCCCGCGAAGCAGTGAGTGGGACAAGGGTCAGGAGAGCCTGCCCTGCTATCAGGAAGGCCCTAAGTGCAAGTCTTCCCTTTATCTCCCCTCACTGCGCTGCGCTCATTCTGCATGCTTCCCAAGAGGCTGGAGCTGGACTGGTCTCCGTGGTGGCAGACAACACAGCAAGGAGCAATGGTCTCAAGTTGCAGCAAGGGAAGTGTAGGTTAGATATCAGGAAGACTTTTCTCACTAGAAGGGTAGTAAAACACCAGAACAGGTTATGCAGAGAGGTGGTGGACTCCCCATCCTTGGAGGTTTTTAAGACCCAGGTAGAAAAGCCTCGGCCGGGATGACCTAGTTGGGGTTGGTCCTGCTTTGAGCAGGGGGTTGGACTAGACCTCCTGAGGTCCCTTCCAGCCCTAACTTCCTATGATTCACCTGCGCAGCCCCAGGCTACTATGAGGCCAGGATGCCGCACAGCAAAGCACAAGAAGGCAAAAAAAAAAAAAAATCCGAGGCAGCGGACCCCGCAACCAAAGCCATAAACAGCCCCGTGCCCTGGCCCGGCCCCCTCGCGCCGCACCGGGGCAGGCTCCGAACGCCCCGGGATAGACAAAGCCGCCGCCTCCCATTGGCCAGTTCGCCCCACGCTCAGGCTTCTCCCGGCGGGCCGCGGCCAATCGGCTCATTGACATGCAAATCGCAGGCTATAAAGGGGCGCTGGGCGGCAGCAGCCCGCGGGGCGGGGAGCGGGCGCTGTGCGGAGCTGCCGCCCTCCTCCTCCCGGCCCCACCATGGCTCCGTCCTGCCGGCGCAGCAAGGGCCGGCCCGGCCGGGGGGACGAGGACGGCAGCGGCCGGCGCGGGGACAGGAAGGTGCGGGGCGCTGTGGCCGGGGCTGGGTGGGGGCAGCGGGCGGGGACTCACGGCGTTGCTTGCCGCCCGCAGGCCCGGAAGCCGCTGGTGGAGAAGCAGCGGCGGGCGCGGATCAACGAGAGCCTGCAGGAGCTGCGCTTCATCCTAGCGGACGCGGAGGTGA